CACCCTCATGACCCCTTGATAAATTATAAATTATTATTTTCATTCTCACACCATCCGCTGTCTCCCTTCACCCATGTTTCTGTTGTTCATCACCCTGGGCATGTGTATGTATGTGTGTTATATGTCGATCATTGTGATCGGTTCCCCCTTTCTCCTCCCACCTTCCCCCTACCCTCCTTGTATCACTACTCCCATTACTGTCCTGAGGGGTTTAATTATCTTAGATTCCCTGTGTCGAGAGCTCTCATCTGTACCATGTACATGTTCTGGCCTAGCTGAATTTGGAAAGTAGAACTGGGGTCATGATAGTGGGTGGGTGGGGGGAAGCATTAAAAAACTAGAGAAATGTTGTGTGCTTCGTCGGTGCTATACAACCTGGCTGGCTTGTCCCTTCCTTGTGACCCTTCTGTGAGGGGATGCCCAATTGCCTACAGATGGGCTTGGGGTCTCCACTCCGCCCGAGACTGCAAATCTTTATGGGAGAAGAAAGGCAGGTGATTTCGAATGACTGGCCCTGCAGTTAGTCGTGCACTAGGTAACCCTCTTCAAACCAAACTCCCTGCCATCGAGCCAATGCCGACTCCCAGGGACCCTGTGGGACAGGGTAGAACTGCCCCTGCGGGTGTCTGAGACTGCAACCCTTGACAGGAGTAGAGTCCCATCTTTCTCCCGAAGAGGGGCTGCTGGTTTCAAACTGCTGACCTTGCAGTTAGCAGCCCAATGCGTACCCCACTCTGCTCCCAGGGATCCTATGCTGGGCAAACGAAAATCATCCACTTCCATCCTCTCAGAGGGATCGCATGCTGGGTGCTCCATGACATTTTTGGTGGCCCCTGAATGTTGCCGGAGGGGAGGGTTTGGGCGGGAAAGGCTGTCTGTCTTGTCTGGGACACACACACACACTGAGGGCAGAGAAAGCCCACGGGAATGTGGGGCAATCTTAGGAGAGCCTCTGGACGTCAAGCCAACCTTATCTGAGTCTCAAAGTGCAAGGAGGCCTCCCACGGCTCCAGGGCTCTGTCTCTAGCAAGCCTGGGAGGCGGGTGAGAAACAGGGACCCTGGCTGACCGTTGACGGTAAGGACAAGCACTTCAGTCCCGGGCCAGTTCCAGAGACAGAAAGGAAAGAGACCCCAGCACCACTGAAACACACATTCCCCTGGTTCTGTGATGCTCCCCCCACCCCACTCTCATGACCCCAGTCCCACCTTCCAAATCCGGCTAGACGGGAGCATGCGCACGGGTACAGATGAGAGCTCTCAACACAGGAAATCCAGGACAGATAACCCCCTCGGGAACAGTAATGGGAGTAGCGATACCATGACGGTAGCGGGAAGGTGGGGGTAAAACAGGGAACCGACTACAATGAATCGATGTATAACCCCCACACCACCCCCATGGGGACAAACAGCAGAAACGTGGGCAAAGGGAGACAGCGGACAGTGTACGATATGAAAATAATAATAATTAATAATTATCAGGCGTCCAGAGCGTGGAAGGGGTGGGGGTGAGGAGCTGATACCAAGGCCTAAGTAGAAAGAACATGTTTAGAAAAGAATGATGGCAACATAGGTACAAATGTGCTTGATACAAGTGATGTATGGATTGTTATAAGAGCTGTAAGAGGCCCCAATAAAAAATAAAAAAAGAAACCTCGCTTCCGTGTCCTGAAGGGAGAGAGAGAGAGAGAGAGAGAGCGCGAGAGCGAGAGAGAGAAGCAGGAGCACGGGGGCTTCTGGGGGATCTGCAGCATGAGCTGGGGAGGAGATGTTGTTGGGGGGGCGGCGGCGGGCAGAGGTTTCCTCTCTCTGTAAGAGTGTAGTGAGGTTCTCTACTCCGACAAAGAGTTCCGGTCTCAGAGACCTGACAGCACCCACTCTCTGGGAGTGGGCTGGGCTTTTTCAGGGGGTGCAGGTCTGGCTGGAGCAAGGTAAGGAGGGTGAGGGGCAGGCAAGGCAGTTGTTTCCAACTCGTGGGGGCAGGGTGGGGGGAAGCTGAGCAGGAACGGATGCGGCCCAGCTTCCGATCCAGGAAGACTCAGAAGGGATCTCCAGGACCTCTACCCCGTCCCCCACTGCCCCAGGGCTGAGTTCTCAGGGCTCTTGCTGCAGAATCCGAGTGGACAGGGCGTTCTCAGTCCGAGCGCAGGCCTTTCCCCCAAAGACCTTGGGTGCACCCTGAGACCCACCCCTGGCCCAGCTCCACACGGACACACACACACTCCTCTCTCTCACCAATCATGGCGAAGAGGTCCGAGTGGTAGACGGAGCCCCGGCGCTGCTTGCTCTTCTCCAGCCGGGCCTTGTAGAGCACCCTCGAGAGGACCAGGCCGAAGTAGGCCCCGAAAGTGTGGATGGTCATGGAGCCGCCGGCATCCCTCACCTGGGGAGGTGAAGCCGAGGTGGCTGGGCCAGCCCCCAGCCCAGGCCCAGGCCCTCCCAGCCTAGCCGCCCCGCCCTCACCTGCAGCACACTGAGCAGGACAAACTCATTGGCCCCAAACAGCACCACCTCCAGCAGGGCCATGAGCAGCAGCTGGGCAGGCCCGGTCTTGCCCAGGACAGCTCCGAAGGAGATGAGCACAGCGCCCGCGCAGAAGTCAGCGTTGATCATGCTGGGGGCAGGGGGTGGGGTGGGGTTGGAGGGGCAGGGAGAGGCTCTGCCAGGCCTGGGACAGGCCCCGGGCTCGGGTGGCGGTGGGAGGAAGACGCAAACCCAAACCCATCAGGCTGCTGGGGAGTCCATTTCCAAAGAACTGCCCCCCAGGGTTTGTTGCCCGACATTGACAGGGCTTCCAACCGGTTCATTCCAGTTCCACTCTCAGCTGAGAATGTGTCTTTCCACCCCAGGTATTCTGAGCCCCCTGTCTTGTCCAAGGGAATGCGGATTCCGATTCCCTACAGCTGGCATGAACTGGTCTGAGGCCCTGCGTACCAAAGCTCTTCTCTGGAAGCCGGGGAGCGGGCACTCCCCCACTGCGTGAGTGAGGAAACCCAGGTTTGGGGACGCCCCTGTCGTGGGGCCCACACCAGTGGAAGAACCAGATTGGAATGGAGGCCTTCAAACCCTGCCCTTTCCCACGAAGCAGTCTACCCTCCCCCCGGCCTTGGGTACCCAAGGTCCCAGAGAAACGAGGAGAGGGGGTGAGCGTGGGGGTGAAGGATGGAAAAGAACGAGGCAAAGGGAGCGGGCAGCGTTCCCAGAGATGTGGATGGATGGGTCAGACTCAGGTCAGGAAGCTCGGGCAGTGGGCTCCCGGGTGGACCCGCCCACCCACGCACCTACCTCTCCACGCCGACGTGGATGTAGCCCCCGTGTAAGGAGTGGAGGAAGCCCTGGACGAGCGTGGCCCACTGCAGGGCAAAGGCAGCGAGGAGGAAGGTGAAGGCCACGCTGCTGAAGCCGTAGCGCTGCAGGAAGGCCATCAGAAAGCCGAAGCCCAGGAAGACCATGACGTGCACGTCCTGGAAGCCTAGGGGGCCGGGCGGAGGGCATGTGGGGCTGTGCTGGCCACACCTACAAACCAGCCAGTGCCCCGGCTCTCCCCGGCCAGGGCCACCTGGAGACTGGCACCTATAAAACTCCCCAGGCGTGGTATGACAGAGCCGCCCAGCCCAGGGCCACCAAGTGGAGCTGGCCAGTGTGGGGCTGGAGGGTCCAGCCCAGCCCCCCGGATTCAGCCTCACTGTCAGAACGAGGAAGTAGGGCCACCTTATGCTCTGCTCTCCCTGCTCCTTGGGGAAGGAGCCTGGGTGGCCCAACAATTAAGTGATCAGTGGTTACCCAAAAGGTTGATGGTTCAAACCCACCCCCCCAGCCACTCTGCAGAAGTGACTGACAGTCTGTTCCTCTAAAAATGACGGCCTAGAAACCCCGGGGTATCTGCCCTGTCTCACTGGGGCCCTCTGAGCTGAAAACCCATTTGATGCACCATCACCACAATGCACCTGGCGGTAAAGACAGCTTGCATCCTGTTGCTAACTGAAACACAAACTCACTGCCTTCGAGTTGGTGCCGACTCTTGGTGACCCTATGGGACAGGGTAGAACTGCCCCTGTGAATTTCCAAGAATAGAATGCCCCATCTGTCTCCCTAGGAGCTGGCTGCTGGTTTTGAACTGCTGACCTCATGGATCACAGCCCAACTCATAACCTTGATACCGCCAGGGCTCCACAACTGCTCTGCTCTGCTAAGCTATGCTATGCTAAGCTAAGCTAAGTGTTAGCCATTCAAACCCATCGCAGTAGGTACCAAGGAAGAAAGGCCTGGCAATCTGTTTCCGTGGAGATACCACCAACAAGCCCTATAGACTAGTTCCACTGTAACAGCAGCTAACAACGCCTTCTCCCCGCTCCGCTCCCCGCCTCTGTCCAGCCTCCGCTCCTTGCTGCTGCAGTCCTAGCCCCTCCTTCCTCAAAATCCCCACCCGCCTGCAGGCTGCTTTTCAACTCTGCCTTTCTGTTGGAAAGTCCTTCCTGATGTCTAACCTCCGGCCCTCCATTGTGAGGCTGTGCTTATTTCTGAAATGCCTTTAAACGATTACCTACTATCTCAGTGGAAAGAGGAAGGGGGCAGGGCAACTCCAGTGCTAGCGGTGCCTCCAGGGCAGCACCAGGAGGGAGGGGCTTGCTTTTGGTGGGTCTCTCTAGAGCTTAACTACATTAACTCTATAGATAAATTATTTGGGGTTTCCAGGCAAGGAGACAGGTCCATTGTGTGTGTGTGTGTGTGTGTGTGTGTGTGTGTGTGTGTGTGTGTGTGTGTGTTTCGATTCCATATATAAAAGCAGCAAGCAAAACACTCAGCTACAGATAACTATACAGCACGGGGGTGTCAAGAAGTTCATGGGGGAAAAAAGAAGGGGGGAATTAAAAGAGGGGAACAGTCTGTGGGAAAATGGGATGGAGAGACAATGGAATGCTCCCACGAACTTTTTAAAGCCCCTCACAAAAGGCATTGGCTTTGACATCCGTTGGTTCTGTCACCCAACCCCACTGCCCGGTCTACTTGCAAGTCCAGCTTGAAGCAAGGCCTGGCCCAGCGGATGGCCAATCCACACGGCCCTGTGGTTAACAAAGGTTCGGTGGCTTGCTCAGGCTCCGAAATGAAGAGGGTGGATTTGAACCCAGTTTGGGCTGTTGGCTAGAGTAAAGTCAAACTACACCTTCGGCTTTTATCTTTAAATTTTTTTTTTAGTTTTTAGGTGTTTTTTTGGCTTTCATCTTTTGGAATCATTGCATTTGTCATCACTGAGTTATCGGGAAACAGGGTCCCCTCCCCGCTTTCGTAGCTCTTCCAGTGCCAGGAATGGCCTGCTTTTATGCGCTGGCCTGCTTTCCCGGAGGCACGTGGCAGCATGCGCTGAGCACCTGTGGACCAGGCTCTGGGAGCAGTCACAGTCCACCCCTTCAGAGAGCACAGAGGACACACAGTTGCATGCGGTGAGGTTTCTCAGTTCTAGTGAGCACAACCGAGCTGATCACATTTCCCTTTTTGCCTTGGCTGGCTGGAAGCTCGGAGCTACATTGGAACCTCCGCGGTAACAAATGTAGGCCCGTAGAACATTGGCATTTGCGTTTTGTGTGTGCTTTTCTTCTCTTTGTTGTAAGTGACCTCCCATCTCTTATAGAAAGGCAGGTTGTAAAGAAGGTCACCTGTTTCGTTTCATCTGAAGAAGCACCGGCCAGCCAAAACTTACGGCTCAACTTCAAATCCACGGGCACAGAGTGGATTCCGGCTCCACAGCAGCAAATAGTTATCTTAGAGAAACACACTGTTATGCTCTTTTTATGCTCTCTGTGGGCTGGTCAAGGGACCCTGCTGGCGTCGTGGGTTTCACATTGGACTGCTGGCTGCAAGGTTGGCTGTTTGAATCCAGCAGCCACTCCGAGGGAGCAAGATGAGGCTTCTGCTCCTGTGAAGATTGACGGTCTCAGAAACACACTGCAGCAGGTCTACCCTGTCCTAGAGGGTTGCTATGAGTTGGCATCCACTGCATGGCAGGGAGTATGAACTGTGCCAACAAGCCCCTGGCAGATGGCTGTGAGTGTGCTGGAAGTGAAAATCGGGGGTTCAGCTTCCAGCCAGCAGCCAAAGGGAGCTAGGGCCCGAAGACCCATCGCCCTCACTAAATGTCCCCACCATGCGACCTCCAGCGTGACCTCTCCCAGAACCACTCAGCTCTCTCTTCCCTCCTTGATCTTAGAAACCTAAGCGGATCCCTCCGAACCCAGCCAGCAGCTCCGTGTCCTTCCGGTGTTTCTCCTTGTGCAAACAGTGAAGAGGATCCCACGTCTGTCTTCGTGCCCAAGGATGGCAAGATCACAGCAGGGCTGGGGAACAGGGCTCTGTTCCCATCATGTGCTGAGCCCCGCACCCCCACCCCCCCTCCCAGGACTTGTCATAAATGGCAATACTGGATTTGTTTAGAATCAAACAAAACTCAACCTCTTGACCTTTCAAATGAAATCTCAACATAAAAGAAATCTCTTTGTCCAGCAGGGCTCTCTCTCTGAGGGTTGTGGTAGGGAAGGTGGGTAACAAATGACTCTGGAGTGGGGGGATAAGATGACCTCTCAATTGTCCCTTCAGGGGATCCTGATGGATATACCCCTTCCCTCCGGCCCTGCCCACTCTGCCCCTGGACAAGACAAGGCTGTGGGACAAGGGAGACGCGAAGGTTGGGGCTTACCGTTTGACTAATCTCCCTCTTGAATTCCAACTCCCTCCCAGCCTGCATGACCTCAGATAAGCCACTTAGCCTGCCTTGCCTCAGTCTCCCCATCTGTAAACTGGGGGTATAAATGATGAGGACTTGGCAGAAAAGTAAGGGAAACTGCCAAGGTCACCTCTCCCTCCCCGACTCCGCTCCCAGCTGCCCCTAAGGGGGCAAAGAGGCCCTAGATTCCTAAAAGAGAAACCACAAAGCTCTCTGGTCCAGATCAAATCCTCTGTCCTCTACCTCTTCCCAGAAGACCCTGCTTCTGGCTGGCCTACATCTATCCCTGCTGTTAGGTTCTCTGAGGTGCACAGGGTGGGGGTGGGGGTGAGTAGAGGGTGTATCCACCTCCCTCTTTTTTTTTTTTTGCAAAGTCTTTTTCATGTTTGCTCTGTGGTCCTGGCACCCCTGTCACTGCCCCTCCCTGATTTTCTGCCGGTGGGGCATGAAGAGAGGGCCTGTGGCCTGGCTCTATCTGTGACTTGCTAGGTGATCCTGGTCGGGTCACATGTTCTGCCTGGCTCTCCCTCTTATGTGGAGAGAGTGGACCAGCTGGGCTCTGAGGGATAACAGATAGACCGTCAGTCGGGCCGTGCCCTTGGCATTGGCCAGTCCTGCAGCCCAGTAACGGCCTCCAAAGTCCCTTTCATCTCTGGAATCAAAGGACGGTGGCTACACTCCCACTGACCCTGACCTTCCCCTAGATGTTGGGGCAGTGAGGATCGGCTCATCAAAGTCCCTGGCTCCAGGGACCCCGGGCCTCCCTCCTCCCCAACCCGCCCAGAGCAGGGACCTAAGTCCACAGGCGCTGGCACAGAGGGAATCCCACTGCTGTCCTTCTTACTGCAACCGGTCTGAAAAGCCAGAGGGGCAGCGGAGGGGCAAGAAGTTACACTTCAGAGACGACTGTGGAAGGGACAGGGCTGGGAGGCCCTGGAGAGGCCCATGGGACAAGCAAGGGAGGTCAGCAGACCTTTGAACAAGAGCTTTCTTCTACCTGTGGATTGTTCCCTCTCAACTCCCTGCCTTTCCGGATGACCCCCAAGAATCTGCGATCCCACTGGGAGCCCCATCTTCCTGGCCCAGCCCTTCTGACCAGGACTGACTGTGAACCACAGAACACAGAACGGGGAGGTGCAGTCTCCTTTGCTAGGGCTGGCTGGGGGCCCAGCATTCCACACCCAGCTCCAAGTCTCCACTTGGCCCCCTAGTTCCCCAGCATTGAGTGTCATTTGGGAGCAAGCTGGGGTGGGATGGGGACAGCCAGCCGCCATACCTGCAAGAAGAAATTAGGGTAGTAACCTCCTTGGGTATTTTATAGGAGGCTCTCGTCATACCGAGGCATCCTCCACCCCGTTGCCTGGGTGGGGAGCACTGGGAGAAGGCCTGCCCAAGTATTCGTGATGACAGAAATCTGGAAGAGCTGGGGTCCTCGCCCCCACCCCCCAGTCTTGAAGCTGTGACCCCAGCCAAGGGCCAATCTTGCCCTTCCTGGGCCTTGTCAGCAGGCAGCTGTGCTTGGAACAGGAGCTTCCCATACCAGAGCTCAGAGTTCCACAGCGTTGCTCCTCCGTGGTGGGGAGCACCAGCGAGTCACAAGCCCCCTGAGCCTCAGTCTCCATCCCTGTGAAACATGCTCCCCAGCCCGCCCCAGGCGGGCCTCCTTGCCAGGGCTAGGGACTGCCGCTCTAACGGTGGTTCCTAGGGAGGACTTCAGGAAGGGCCCGCTTTGGGGCCCCAGGTATACAGAAAACTCTCTTGGGGGGTCTTGTTAAAATGTAGCTCCTGATTCAGTCTATTCGAGGTGGGTAGGCAAATCCTCACCCAGGGATCAAATGAGAACGAACCAGCCGGGACCCTGAAGAGGGGAAAATGCTGGAGCTTCCCCCCCACCCTGTGATGCCCCAATCTCAGCCACCTGTCCGTGTGAAGGCCTCCAGGTTAAAGCGCTACACACACACACCCTTGCCTCCCGGCAGGATACTCTCCCCTGAGGTCAGAAAGGAGCCCCTAAGAAAAGCGAAGCCCCATCAGGCAGCTGGATGGAAAGTGGGGGGACAGAGAGGCTAGAGCTGGGATCTTAGATCTGGGGTTCAAACCCAGGCCCCCTACCCTCCTCTGGTTGCCTGATCCCGAGCACGCCTCTTAACCTTCTGAGCCTCAGTTTCCCCCCTGTTAGGCACGGGCACGTGGCAGGTACGAGGTAGCTTTGTGCAAACCCCCAGGGTCTCTGCCTGCCCCAGCCAGAAGGGGCTGCTAGGAGGCGGCACGCAGCCCGTGCCCTTGCCTGGACCAGAGCCGCCCACCCAGGGGCAGGTCCGGCCCAGCGCGCGCTCAGCCGCACTCACTTGGGTAGCGCAAGTAGAAGGCATTGTCCGCGGCGCTGTGGTTGCCCCGGTGCCAGAGGGCTGGGTCGCTCTCCTGGCCGTAGCGCACGAAGACCGCGAAGAGGACGGCCGTGGCGGCCTGGAGGAGCAGGCACAGCAGCGGCAGC